AAATGGGACTTCATAAAACTAAAAAGCTTCTGCTCAATAAAAGAAATGGTCTTTAAACTGAAGAGACCACTCACAGAGTGGGAGAAAACATTTGCCAGCTACACATCAGACAAAGGACTGATAACCAGAATATATAGGGAACTTAAAAAACTAAATTCTCCCGAAACTAATGAGCCAATAAAGAAATGGGCAAGTAAACTAAACAGAACTTTCTCAAAAGAAGAAATTCAAATGGCCAAAAAACACATGAGAAAATAAAATCTTAAAAGCACCTAGGAAAGGGAAGATACAAAAATGAGGAGAACAAAAGACATTTTATAGAAAACAATGCAAAATAGAAAGAGAGTGGAGTGATTTTTAAAAGTATTTTTCAATGGGCAATCTGAGTCATATGACCATCTGAACAGATACAGAAAAGAATGTGATGAAATACAACATCCATTTCCCATCTAAACTGCACACTGGGAATAGAAGATGACTTCCAAACTGGATAAAAGGGACCTCCAATAGAGCTACAGCTAGGATCATAGTTAATCAAGAAAGGCGTGTTTTCCACTTAAGACTGTTAACCTGGCTAACGTGTTTGCTCTAATCACTCCCATTTGACAGCACACTGGAAATCTCAGCCAGTTCTATAAGGAAATTAAAATTCTACCAGGTGATTTTTGTTTTCATTTTGCAAAAAAATGTTGAGATAATTCTAAAATTAATATGAGGATAACTGAAACATCCTAAAAAGGCAAAATAACTTTGAAACAAAAAGGCTACTACTGCCATATTTTAAGAATTATAAGATCATATTAATCAAGACTGTGTACTGGAGTACAGATAAATAGATTGACAGAGAAGAATAAAGAGCTCAGAAAGATAGTCAAGTGTACATGGAAAGCAGATTTTTATCAAAGGTGAAAAAGCAATTTATCATAGAAATGGCTGGGCTTTCAAAACTGGCAAGAAACGATTGTATATCCCTATGTAAAAATGGCCTATGTCTATAACTTGCACCACATTAAAAATTACTTCAAAGTATATTGTAGACCTAAATGTAAAACCCCAAATCATAAAACTTACACAAATACAAAATATTATAAAATAGTCAAAATATTTGAAGAGATTCTCAACCAAAAAAATACAGATAGCACCTAAGCACACATAAAAAATGATTAAAATTATTAGTTATTTCAAAAATACAGAGTAAACTCTATGTAAAATACCACTATACCCCAATTAGAAAGGCTAAGATTTAATAAACTAGTCATAACAAGATTTGGAAAATTGTGTTAGACCTGGAACTCCTATACATTTGTAGGATCAAAATAAAATGAAACAACCAGTTGGGATGTGACATGGGGAGAAAATCATATGAATTATTGAAATAGCCTACAACTTGGATGGATCCCAAAATAATTGTGCTGAGTGATTGGAGTGACACAAAAGGAAAATATATACCTTATCATAAACAATTCTAGAAATTACAAAATGAAAAGTATTCCATAGCACAAGAACGCAGATCGGTGTCTTAGTACAAGGGAAGTCAGGAGGGGAGACTTTCAGTGTGGCATGGAGAACCTGTTAGGGGACCTGGGTATACTCATTGTCTTGCATCTGGTGATGATTTCACAGAGCTATGCACATTTCAAAACTTAGCAGCTTGGACACCTATATGGAGATTTTATGCTATGTCAATTATGTTTCTATGAAGTTGTTTTTAAACTTTCAGATTTCCAGCTTCTAAAAAACTGGAAGTTCCAGCTATATTGTCTGAATGACTGCATGGTAAAACAAGTGGTCTCTTTCCTGAATTACTTGGTCCCTGTATGCAGTAGTTTTCTTCCTTCCCCCTTGTTTCTCTTATCCTGCTGTTTTCATTTACTTTACTCCAGTACAAATCTGAATTTGCATTTACCAATTGATTTCTTGTCTTCTGTTTAAAAAACAAAGGACTACTAAAGTAGTCTCTTTTATCACTCTGAAGGGAGAAAGCATACAAATCCCTTAACTCATTCTATAGTTATATGGCCCCAACTAATTCCCTAAATCCATTTCTTAACATTCTTTCATCAGCCTTTATAACAAGAAACTCTACTTGCTAAACGCTATTGACCAAATCCCAAATAAGTCATATGTTCTGGGTTTGTTTACCTAGCATGTGAATGAGATTAATATTTGGAAAGAGAGAAGGAAAGAAAAAAAGACGCTTTTATACCCACATAGAACTTTCCCTTTCTACCGAACAGTAATTGGAAGTCAGTTTTTTTTTTTTTGTCTCCAAAAAGAAGGAGGGATAGAAAAGAACCCTTGAAATAAAATGATTTCTTGCTGTTACATGTAAGATGTAAGAGGTTTAAAAATAAATGCCCCCATAGAAAAGGAGAAGTTGTAAAAGTTATCACCAGACATTTCATCACTATAGGCCAGTGTAAGTCTAGCCCAAGTGATAGGCTAGGTGATGCTGGAAGTCTTTCATCTGTCATTAGTCGCAAATCTCCAGAGGTCAAGATATTGCCGAATCAAGCCTGTAAATTCCTAGCTCTGTTGGGTCATCCCAAGTTATAGATCATGTTTTGAACCTTCTTTTTTTTCTTTTGCCTTGCTGCAATGTCACCCTCAACTGGGTCATCTTTTTCTGATGAAATATTCTGCTTCTCAAGAATAAATAATATACATTATGAGAAGAGTAAGATTAGAACACTGGCTTCACTTGTTTTGTAATTTCTGCAGAAGAGGCTATTAAAATATAATTATTACCTTCATTCTTTACTTGACTGTCTTAGTTCTCAAATATTTTAATATTTGTAATAGTTTTACATTATATACTCACAAATAAAACTTTTCATCCCATACTGGATTCAAGTTTCCAAAAATTGTTTTAGTCCTTCTTTTGTTTTTTCCAACTTGAACTGTAACATATGGGTCACTTGAGCCTGTTTTGTCTTTTGCCTGCAAGCCTTGTGCAGAAACAACTGAAATAAACAAAAACAGGCATTTTAATTTAAAGATTTTTCAGAAACAAAAAAAGTAAGGAAAATACTTGCTATCATTTTGTCCCTTAGGTCTGCAGAGGCAGCCCCATTGCTTTCATTCTTACAACTAGCAGGAATTTAAAGTCTTTAATAAAAGAATGAGTACACCGAACACTGAAAATTTCTGTCTACTTTTTTGATGGCTGAATGGTGTTCTGTTGTGTATTTTTATTACTTTTTTTTAATACATTCATCTATTGGTAGACACTTAGGTTGATCTCATATCTTGTGAATTAGTATTATAAACAAACACAAATGTGCAGGTATCCTTAAACAAAGAGAGTTCATTTATTTTGTATACATACCCAGGACTGTTCAAAATATGGTAGTTCCATTTTGAAATTTTCTAGGAATTTCCATACTGTTTTACATTATGACTATATTAATTTATATTTGCACCAACAATGGACAATGGTTCCTTGTCCTCACATTCCTACCAACACATCTTTTGTCTCTTTTATAGTAATCATTCTAAGATGTGAGAGGTGATATTTCATTGTGGTTTTAATATGCATATCTCTAATAATTAGTGATGTTGAACAATTTTCCATATACTTGTTGGTCAGTTGTAAGTCTTCTTTTGAGAATTGTCTATTCAAGTCCTTTGCTCATTTTTAATAGAAATAAAAACTCAACCAAGGAAAAGAAGTTTTTTTTATTTTACTTTGCAAATACCATATGAGGCAGTTAGAAAGCTTGGTAGATATCAACATCATGCATAAGCATTTGCTGTTAACATCACAAATCACTTTCAAAGTTCCAATTACTAGTTATCACTAAACTCAAATACTGAGTACACATGTATGTAAATGGAAAAACGATATCCATTGAAACAATTCCAGAAATGGGGGAGGGGAAGATAAAGGAGAATGGGGGTGAACTCATGTATGATGTATTTGATATATTGCAAGAACTTTTATAAATGCCACAATGTACCCCCACCCAGCACAATAACAAAAAAGGGGAAAAATTAAACAGTATAGAAATAAAAGAAATAATATAGAAAAAGTAACTCAAATGGTCTTTACTCAAGGATTCCAGGGTTGAGTGAATGCTAACTAAAATTATTTCTCATTTGAAAAAAAAAAGCTCACTAAAGAAATTATTGGCTACACCTGTAATCTATCAGTGGGAGGCAGCAACAAGCTACTGTCTTCTAATCTTTGGGGTATTGATGAGTGTGTAAAAAACAGAAATTACTTCAATTATCTAGTATATATTTTAGAAATTTAGAATAGCAGCTAATTTGTCAATATTGAGAAGATCAAGACTCTACTTAGTTTTCCTATAATTATTGTTAGCAGTGATTTCTGAGACACATGAAAACCTCAGTATAGAATAAACATTTTAAGGAAGACTTATTTTTACCTGTAATGGTTATTTTTGCAGACCACTTAGATGTGCCATCCAAAACACTCTGTTTGGCTGCCTTTGTGTACTGTACAAAATCTTCTTTAGAAATCTGAAACATTTCCTGAATTACTTCAAATACCTCTGGCCTGTTTTTCTCCCTGATCTTCATTCTTTCTTTCATGGCTGTAATAATGGTCTGAGTCTTGTCCTCTGCACCATGCTTGGAACTCTTTTCTGCTGCTCCTACAATGAGAAATCAATGGTGGTGTGAACGTGTATGAGTTACTTTGTGGTGGTACAAAAGAGGGAGGAAAAGGGAGAAATATGAGAGTCAATGGATGCTTTCATTTTGAGGAAGCAGGGTGGCTGCTCTAGAAACTATCAGGAGAATAAACCATTATGCTGATATACAGAACAATTTGTCCTCATGGGTATTACTGGCAAGTCAATTGGCCCCCCTGATTCCCAGTTCTCTCAGTTCTAATACTGGAATTAAAAAAAGAATTCTATAAACATTTGGCTTGAATTTTTAAAAGAAAATTTCAAACAAAACAATAAGTATACACAATCAAATGTTAGTTATATAACACAAAACACTAGCCTTCATCCAATTTATCTAGCTATTTTTCTCATTGGGTTTTACTATAAATATTTAAGATTTTTCTTTAAATTAAAAAAAATTATCTCCATGTATTATATATCCTATATAACATAGGATATAATTTCACCTACAATGAAAGTGATTTTACTGTTTAAAAAGATTTGGAGACCATTGGGCTGGATGACCTACAAACTCCTGATAGACCACAGGCTTGAAGTCTCTCTTGTATAATTCATAGTTTTAAACAGGATGAATTCTTATTTTCTATGCAAAACCTTTATTTTATTTCTAGGACATTGTTTTTTTGTTTGTTTGTTTGTTTGTTTAGTTTTGTTTGTGATTGTTCCCAACTTTGTGGGCAGTTTTGTTTGCACTGCAAATCCTTCTGGCAGTGAAGCATTTCCAAAATATTCCACTTTTATGTTCTTCAAGTTCTACACTTATCAGCCAGATAGTCTTGAGTGTGACCTGCTGGGTTGTCCAATACTGTGCAAGTAAATAATAAACCATGATACAAAATCTTATAAATTCTGTGTGAGTTTGAAGTGAGAAAAAAAAGGTCATTTTGTTTGTAGACACTGCACTGCTAAAACCTAACTTTTTTTTTGGTCAAAGAAGAAACTGAGGTACAGTGAAAATAATCAAGTTATTTAGACTAATTGTGCAGTTGCTCCAATTATGTGCCTATAAACATTACTCAAGTTGTACTATATTTTTTCTGAAATACTGTATGTATAAAATAGGCTTCCAAATATCTCAAAAATATCTGAAGATTAAATGAGATAATTTACCTGCATAATTCCTATTACAAGTAAGATTCTTTGACTCCAATTGATCAACTATTTACTATTAATCATGATAAATTCACACACAATTTTATAATGTTAATTTATTTAAAAGTATAACATTTGTTATACTTTTACTAAAGAGTGGTAAAAGTATATTCATAACTTTAAGCCCACAAATAGCAGAAGGTAAAAGAGATGAATATTCCAGTGTAGAAAGAATGGACTGTTTGTCTTTACCCCTTTTAAAAAAAAAAAACTTTGAGGACTTACGCCACATTTAAGTGAAAAGAATACAAAAAGGAATAAATTCTAGTTAATGCAAGTTTAAAGAACCTTCTAAATGCCCTACTTGTCTTGTTAAAACATGCCATACAGCAGATGCATATTTGTGTATTAGGTACCATTAAATACATGTTTGTAATTTATCAATAATACTTTAACTACATAGTACATAATTTTTACTCAATATAATTTGCTTAGGCTACACTATTCAGTGGTCATACTTGGCTTCAAGTTTTGGAATAGTCATTAAATGTAAGGGGCAGTGCTGACTAGAAGACATATGTAAGATTCCAAGTGCCTCAGAAGTATGTTTTATAACAGCCATGGTAAAGATACTCAAATGGTTAGAAGTATCACAAAAATGTTGAACTGCCTTCTCCCGAAATTTCTGAACAGCTGTTATTATTGTGGTGTTAGCGCTCCAAAGGATCCAGGAAAGAATTCTAGAGTCCTATAGAATTTAGTATATTTTGGATTTTTTTTAAAGTAAGAGTTCAGTTATTACCTATACAACAATTGCTCACATAAGCAATAATTACCAAATTCAACATAAAATGTCAAAAGATTTTCATCCAAAGGATTCAAACCTCTGACCTTGATGACTGTTCTTCATATCCCTTAAAAACAATTAGGAAGGCTTAAAAATCTTTCACCTCTCTCCTTGACGCTGGAGAAAATTATTAGCTCTAATATCTATAGAAAACAGACCTAAATACTGAAATTGCCGATTTAGGGGGAGCAGGTTAACAGAGACTTATGTTTAAGCCTTTTTATTTGTCATTTCTAGAGAAATAACAGTTTTTAATTTTACATTTCTTTTATATTTTTGTTCTAAAGAAAATGAAGTGATTTAACTTGGATTTTTTTAGCTCAGATTCAGACACATTCATATTTAATTTTTGTCACTGGTTGATAAGTAGTATCCATTGTCCTATTGATATAAAACTCACATATCCTATTTCTAATCAAATCATTTCTCAAATAATTGCAATTTGTCATGAGTTTCCAGTCTTTAAGTTTTATTATTTTCCCTCAGTGTTATTCTGGTTTTTTTTCCAGAGCAATCAGAGATAACTTTAAATTTGCATTTATATAAGTCTTCCTTCCAAATGTAAGGTAGATGGTCTAGTAGCTTCCTTGAAATGCAATAATATGCTAACCGGAGGACAACAGTAATTGAGATCACTAGAGAGAATGTAGAGAGAGAGCACTTTGTAAAGTACGATACATTATTCAAATGAAGTGTATCATTGTTGCTTTTAAAAACACTTAATGGACAGATCAGACAATACAATTGTGCACAACAAAACTGCAAGAGAATGCAGTCTTAGATAAAAGCAAATTTATTCCAGGCAGGGAAAACATTCCTTTCTATGTAATTTAATGGGACAATCAATTAACCAGAACTCTCATTTTCTTTAATTTCTATTTATTAGCCAAAACATCTCAATTTCATGTAAAATTCATCATTTTACCACTTTACATGGTAATTTACAACTTTACTGTTTTTTCCAATGACGCCTCTATCAATCATCTATCTATATATTTATCATCTAATCTATAAAACTTTAATATTTTCCTTGTTTCCAGTCCCTTTTCCTTCCTATTTATTTTTCTAATTATCTGTTCCAAAACACTTCTACTCTCATCATGTCACCCACCTAACCCCCACTATTCTTGCTTCTCAGAACATGATTGTTTCTCCTCTTCACAGAAAATAGAGGCCTTTTAAACTCAGTAGTCACATTTTCTCTCCTCTGTTACAAAAAAAAAAAAGCAAAACCGAAACCTGAGCTAGGTACCTATGGCTCACACTTGTAATCCTAGCTACTCAGCAGGCAGAGATTAGGAGGACCACTTTGAAGTCAGCCCCTGGCAAATAGTTTGTGAGACCCTATCTCAAGAAAACTCATCACAAAAAAGGGCTGAATAGGCAAGCCCTTCATTCTTGCCTGAAAGGGCAAGAATGCCTGCTTAAGAAGCATGAGGCCTTGAGCTCAAATCCCAGTATCACCAAAACAAACAAACAAATAAATAACCAACAACCAACCAACCAAAACCTGATTTGGAGCATTAGCAGATTCTAATTCCTATGATGTAAATACTCCTAACATGGCTGGTTTCAGGCAACTGCTTCAAAACATTCTTAGGTGTCTAATACCTACCCATATGTACGTCTGTTCCCAAGCTAGCCAGCATGCTAACCTCTACTACATATGTATTTCAAGTATCTAAAATACTATTTGGGAAATAGCACATAGTTAATAAATAAAGAAACCGAACTATATCTTAGAGGAACTTAAGATAAAGTAATTATTATAGCTGAGCACTTAACTTGGCTCTGCATTTAGTTTAATGAGTTATATGCTTCTTGTAAACTCTGATCCTAACATCACGATTCTGGAAGAAAGAAGAATGCCTTCAATGTAAAATGTTGAATATACATTGAAAAGATATATGGAGACTCATATATCTTTTGCTTTTTAGAATTTGAATTCTGGATCTTGGCTTTAAATTTTGAATTCTGAGAAAACAAAGGTTGCGTGCCCATCAATAGAAAACAGAATTTGGTTTTGTTTCAGTCAGCATAAGCAAGGGCATAACTCCAACTATAAATGGAACTGATACATTAATAAAACTACTTCTAAATAAGGCAAAAGTGCATAGCAATTAATGAGCTTTAGGTATAGAAGGAGGCAATTTTGAATTTTTGAGTCTTTACTTCCACTTATGACCTGATATCCTCTGAATATTTATATCCCCTAAAATTCAAATACTGAAAGCTAATCCCCAAAATGACAGAATTTGGAGGTCCTACTCTTCCTACTTTGGAGGGTAGGAAGGTCATGATGGAAGAAACCTCAAGAATGGCACTAGTGCTCTCATTAAATAGGTCAAGGGAAGTTCTTTTCCCTTTTCCACCACATGTGGACCTAGCAAGAGGCCAGCAGCAGAGGCAACCAGAAGAATCTTCCTGTGCTAGGACCTTGGTCTTAGGCGCCCACCTAGAGAACACTGAGAAATCAATTGCTGTGGTATGGCATCTGCCTAGTTTATGGTAATTTATTATAGCACCTGTAATGAGCTATGATACTAGTCTTTTTGGCTTGAACTAGTTATTTCCTCCCTTTAAGCGTTAGATTCCTCATCTGTAAAACAAAAGGGAACAATGGTAGTGTCTCCCCTAAGAGGGTTACATGAGGCTTAAATGAGATGATGGATATAAGGACAGTAACAGTCAAGTAAGTATAGTGACTTCAGAAAGTTAAAAGGTGCAGAGAGCCATCTACTAGAGTTTCATCTTAACAAGGAATTTTAGGACCTTGAACTTGGTAATCACTGTGAAACGAGCCCTTGAAAACTCCCATGAATGGTGCCATGCCCAGTGCTGGCCACACACTACATGCTCTATGCTATTTGCCAAACCACACAATGTATTTGAAGACAAAAGAAATTGGAGTTAGAAGACTGAAAATTTTTTTTAATTTTTGAAGGTTGATGTGGTTGCTTTTGCCTATAATCCTATCTACTCAAGAGGGAGAGACCTGGAGGATGATGTCTCAAGGCCAGCC